AATTGCTGAAGAATACTGCAAGTGAGGCCAAACTACCAAAGAAAAGAATAGCCAGGACAGTGAGTTGAAGGTAATAATATATTAAAAGCTGCTTCTTTAGATCAGTGACCACCCAGCAGCAGCCAGCTGCTTAAAAGCTAAGTGAATGATTCAAAGTCCTGTCTGAGTTGTCCTTTCAACTTTCCGCGTCATATGGGTGTCAGTTCATAGGTAGCCTGAGCCTACTGGCTTAGTAGCATTTGGAGAAAAGCTGTGATGAAGGATCCACAGCCTCACAGGAGATAGATCATGTCTCACCATGACCCTTGTGACAGCCAGAAGTTGAAGTTCAAGGTTTTAGGTAAGAGAACCCCAGTCCCTTAAATTACATCCTTTCAGACAAGTACACAACACAGTAAAGAAGAGCACAGCCCATATATCCCTATCTCTGTATTTGTCTCTCCTGGGAGGGGATTTTTTCTACTGACCTTGGTGTATGGAGACAACCCCGATATTTCACACAGAGCTCAGGGAATGCTTGCATAACCCATTGTTTAATTACTCTAGTCCTAAACCACTAATTTAGTTCAATTTTGTACAGACTACATGTTGGTATTGTTAAGGTTTATGATCCAGTGATTTACAAGGCATGATACATCAGATTTCAAATTGGTTGTATTGACTGTTTAATTGAATGCGGGGACATGAGGGCAATATTAGTGCAAACTTGTGGATCACAGCAGTGCTGTGATGGTGGTAATTCACTGGTGTCATCAGTTACACAGTACAAGCATGTTGAAGTTGTGAAGGCCAGAACCAGACTGATAAACTTAAATAGTGCTTCTGTTTAACTACACAGTCCTTTTTGTTGAGATTAATCAGAAGAAAAATGTAATATTCAGTTTCTAAAGGCTGGTCTTAATGATGAAATAGCTATCACTACATAGGAGGTTTTCAATTCATTAGAGGAACGAATTGACTTACACACTGTGCATCTTCTTCTCAAAACCACCTTGCATGAAGACAGTGATACTGGTTGCACCTACTTCATATTGGTTTGATCCTTAGGAAATAAAAGTTAGTCTTTTTATCTTCTGCCTACTTCAGTTTGCCCTTCTAGAATGTGAATGGTTTAAAAGCTCACTTAAATTACTTATAGTGTATGTGTTATTACCTGTTACTGTCTGGTACGGACAGTGGTTGGATAGCTGGTATTTCTTAGGTGCTCTCAGATTCTCCTGTTAATGGTGTTTTGTCTGCCTGACAACACACAATTCCTTCTTTGTCTCCTTCCTCCCCTGTAAGTCCTCGAGTAAGGAGTTTGGGCCAGAGACCATGGGAGATGAGTGGGGAACCAGAATGGGAATTGTTCATTTAAGGCTCTCCTCTGTCCTTGCTATGTCTGGAGCCACTCATCCTGGAACCAGAAACCCTGTAAAGCCAGCATTTAGGGGAAAGGTTTATGTACATGAAACCAACTATGGAAAGTACCTCCTATATGAAGACAGGCTGAGAAAATCAGGGCATTTCAGCCTGGAGAAGAGAAGCTGTGTGGAGACCTCAGAGCTTTATTCCAGTATCTGAAGGGGGCCTACCAGGATGCCGGAGAGGGACTCTTCATCAGGGATGTAGCAATAGGACAAGGGCTGACAGGTTCAAACTGAAACAGGGGAAGCTGAAGTTAGATCTAAAGAAGTTCTTTACTATGAGAGTAGTGAGGCACTGGCACAGGTTGCCCAAAGAAGTGGTGAATGCTCCATCCCTGGAAGTGTTCAAGGCCAGGTTGGACAGAGCCTTGGGTGACATGGTCTAGTGTGAAGGCATCCCTGCCCATGACAGGGGGGTTGGAACTGGATGATCTTAAGGCCCTTTCCATCCAAACCATTCTATGATTCTGTAAGCATACTGAGAGAGAGCCTTGCTGGTAGACATAGATATTTTTTTCCTAAGAAATACTAATATAAAAGGTATAGATGGTAACTGTGCAAGTTAAGACTTAAACTGCAAGAGTGGAGAGAGCTCAAAGCCCTGTACTTTGGCTTGAAAGCTATTTCTGAATGCACTTCATGTGTAGGTATTGTGAACTCAGGCACCCTGTCACATCCCATTACCTAAATGTAAAAGCCGTTCTCTCCTTTGTCGTCGTCCTGTATTTGCTGTTCCATTAATGACATGGCAGTGTTCCCTACCTTCTCATTAATTAGCACTTTCAGTGTATTTTCCAAGATCCTGATTTCAGCTCTGTCCTCTCTGAGCATCACACCGCACACAAAAAATGGCTGCTTACACAGAAGGCTTTGTTTCATTTGAAATCTGTCACCTTCCAGTGTTCTTAAATAAGTAAAGGTAGAAGGAGTCGCCAGTACAGGAATTCACAGAGGTTCTAGCACAACCTGATCATACATCACATCTACTGACTAACCTCATGCCTGCGGGGAGGGTCAGAGTGGACCTGACTCCACTTCTGGTAGAAAGGAAGAAAAGATGTATCACAGAAATATCTCCCCAAAAGCTTACTAGAGTGTGGCAGAGAAGACATGTGTAGAACAAAATACAGTGTCTTTTTCTTAATTCTAGTGAAAGCCATGACCTGTAACTACTAAGACATCACCTTTAAGTTATATTTTAAGGCTTAACAATTTCTCAATTTATTTTGGAACAGGTTTGCTTTTCCTTTCCTCATTAATCCCCCTTCTATTGTTAAAAAGTCATCTACCACACTCATGGTCAGCCTTTAGAAGACGATGGACACTCCAAAACTGTAGGGCACTTACGACAGGGCACCTGGCCAGCAGAGCAGGACTCCATGCTACAGGCCTGCATGTGCCAGACCTTATCTTTGATTCCAGGGATTATTTCAGACCTCAGGTAAAGCACTGAGCCACTAGATAAGTAATATCCCAACACCAAAATAAGTGATAGCCCAAAACTCCTCTGAACTCAGGCACTGGTAACTACCATTAAAGAACAGTGAGAGAGCCACAAACAAAAGTAGAAATGTTGTATCAATGGGTAAATTGTAATATCAACGAAAGCAGACAGGAACTACTGCAATTCCTCACTACCTGTTTTCTGCCAGGGTTTTGCAGTCTTGATTTTCCATTGTGGCATTACCTTGGGTGTGAACATCCTTACTGTCAGGGTTCATTTAACATCGACTCTGTTGTCACAAGTGCTCGAGCTGCACAGCATTTCTGTATTTTATGCTCCAGAAACACTTTGCTTCTACCACAGAACTCATTTTAATATGTTTAATTAAAAAAAAAACCCTCACAAAAACACAAGCAAATGAAAAGGTGCATAAAGATGTCCGGGCCTTCAAAGGAACCTCTTGGCACTAGTGATCTCTTTGCATTAATTATATGGATGGTAGCAGCCAGAAGTTACTACAATTACAGCACCCATTCACTAGTTTTAATTATTATACATGTGACAGAAGCAGAATCAGGAGTAGGGTGTTAGGAAAAGAACTGCCCTGATCAGAAAACTGCCCCTTCCATGCCAGTCATGTGCAAGTGCCAAGACTTGCCTGAACAATGCCAAATAGCACTGTGTACCATCACTCTCCCTGTTAACCAAAGCATTTAGGTTTTTACATTATAACACCAGGTTGAATAAATAAATAAATAGAAGGAATATGAAATTCAGCCCTAATTACTTTTGATAATTCCATAATCTCCGAGCTTTAAGAAGAAAGCAGTAATTTTCCCTGAACCACCTGTCTTTGAAAAGAAACAAGGATTCAAAGCATAACCACAGCTGCCTGTTCCGGTTTACTTGGCTTCATCTTTGACAGTTCTCTTCTAAATTGCTTCACAGACACAGCAATTTCAAAGTTCTTAAGTAGGAATCAAAGGGACAGAAAACAAAAAACACACTTGTTTTTTTTCCTTTTAAGGGACTTGCACATGAAATCCCTCTAAAGTATGTGAAACCTGCAGCCCTACATGCCTTTGTGGACGTCTGAAGAGTGCAGAGATAGCCACTGCTACTGCAGACCCAGTTAAGGAGTCATGGCTTCTCACAGGCCACTGGGGTAGGATTCTGTGTTCCAAGGGCCACTCCATGGAGACTTTGTGATCCATGGAGAACCTCACACCAGAACATGCAGTACCAGCCAGCATGCACTCATTGTCCCACACACACTGTCATACAAGTCTTTAATACTTGCATGTCATGTCTTGAAGAATGGCTTTCTCCAAAGGTGGAGAGGTCCCCCATCACAGAGCTCTTCCCATCCCAGAGAGAAAAGGTGCTAGGTCCCGCTGCTGTGCCCAGGAGAGCTGTTGAACAAGAGGAGCTGTGCTCTCAGGAGCACACCCTACCTCAAAAACCCTCTATCACTTTAGGCATTTAAATAAGCCACTTGCAATTTTCAGGCTTTATCCAAATGAATAAAAAGGGCTCATGATTTTTGCTATTGGATTTGTTCCATTCATCTACACCAAAAGCTGTCAAGATTTATCTGGGCCTGTTTATGGGAGAATGGTATTTACTTGAGAATAACATCAGGAGAAACCACTTTTCATTTTGGTGCACTGCAATTTTAAGGTGCGTAAGAACGGAGTTTATAGATGCAGAGCTCAGGTTATTGCTAATAAAACACTGTTTCCAATCAGCAGCAGCTCTGCTAACTAACAGTCACGTTCCTCTGTGTACCGTGTGAGGGTTTGGCTCATGGGGAGATCTGTGGGGAGAATCTGCCTTTGCCAGGATCTTTCTTTACCATGGTTAGAAAGGTTTGAGTTTGCTCACTGCAGTTACTGAGATTTTGTAAATGAGCCTCACAGAAGACGTGAGAGCATTCAAAATGTGCTTTCCTAACATTGTAAATTTGTGAGTCAAATGTAGTGCCTCACTCTGGATAATTTCCATTAAATCTTAAAAGGTTTTGCATGGATATGTTATTTGCGCAAACACCGGAATTTAAATTACAGCTATCTAATATTCAGCATTCAAACATCTCGGTTGCATGTATTACTCCACCAGTAAGAGCTTCTCTTTTCTTTTCCACCCATCAGGGCCGATGTATCAACTTCACCCGAGTTCAGTCTCAGTAGAGGAGGAGAAGAAGGTGTCTGGAGGAAAGATGGCCACATTGCCACTTTTCAACTGAGCAGAGAGAACTAAGCATTTGCTCACCACATTCCTTGGACCACCTTCAAGCCCAACCCATAACACTTCCATGTTCCCCATGCAGGAGCTGGCATCACTGTACAAGCTCCTGCACTTCACCCCAGCATGTCGATGCTCTGTGACTGGCAAGTGCCAAGCAATGAAGCCTTGACTTGCAATGCCCATGCTTCTCCAGAACACACAAGGGAGGGAACACAGACACCAAGATGATCATGTTTTTCTAGTTTTGGTATTTTATGTTTTTTTTCTTAAGGACTACATATTCTCAGGATGCAATGTGCTTTTAGCAATGATGCTGAGTTTCTCCAGTGCAGAGAAGGCACGTGGTATTTAAACAGGGACTACTAGCTAAGGGCAGGGTTAAAACCTCCTACCAGGCTAAGCAAGAGCTGAGTGCCTCACAGCCATGTCAGATCACAAACCCTTGCGAGCGAGTCTCCATCGCATTGTGCCTTACAGGAACCTTCTGACTGGAAATCTTGTCACTCTAACACTGAAAAGTGCACACGCATGACAAAAGTAGACAGGGTGCCTCGAGGTATTGGTAGCAAGCAAGACTTTGCCCTTTAGTTTTTGAAGACACCTTTCTTTCATTATGCACCCGGGACAGGGAGAAAATTAATAGAGCGTTATTCCATGGGAAGACAGCCTGTAACCAGGGATCTTGAGCGCAGTTTGAGGGACTGATGCTTCAAGACCTTGACACTGGGGCTGGTGGTTTTTCCCCCCTTTCCTGCATTCACAGTTCAGTAGCGCATAAAACATCATCATCTATAAACGTACCTAGCAGTCCTAGAGCTTAGCTGTTTTTAATCTTTTCTTAGATTAAAAAAAGCAGTAGCCACTAAACTGGTATCTCAGGGTTCTCTCCCCACCCCCAAATCTCCAAGGGCTCTTCAGCGACACAAGCCAGCAACTCTCTTTGCATGAGAATTTCAAAGTTTAATTAATATAATTAAAGGCAACAGCAAGCAGCAGCCTGTGAAGATTTTGCTCATCTTTTTTATGCCTTTTGACATTGAATGACCTATTACTGTATGTGCATTACTGGGTTTTCAAGGGGGCACTGAGCACTGGTTAGGATTCAGCAGTGGAAAAAAGACCTTCTTCCATCAATGGAGAAATTAAATGTAGGGGATGCCGGCTATCAGAAACCATTGACAATGTATGTATTCTAATTTTTTAGAAAAACCAGTGTCGTGTCACGTCGACGATGCCAAATTATGTTAGAGTGAGCGGAAACACTGTGGGGGAGGAAGGAGGGAGCAGCTGAAGAAAAAGGCTCAAATGATCCAGTCACTTTCGATACTGTACTTCAGATGCAGAATGGATATTCGAGTCGAAACCTGACAAAGCGCGCCCGCTTTGATGGGAACTGGTATAGACAATGACCAGTGGCTGGGTCAGTGGGATGTCTCTCTGTGAGCAGGGAGGCTTATCAAATGACACTAAAAATAAGTTCAGCAACCGTCACGTTGGAGGGGAAAAGGCGAACATTTCACATTTGGTGGGCACAAATGCACGCAAGATGGAAAGAGCAATGTGAAGCATCGTGGTCTAATTTTCTCCTTTGTGCTACTCTTTGGAATTGCAAGGGACAGAAATAAGTCTCTTGGTTGATGTCCGAATTTGTGGCACTGCTCAAAGAAGCCTTTACATGTATCCACTCGCTTACCTCTTTTGCTTGACTTTATTTATGTCACTGGTAGCCTCATCATCAACAGCCATTTGTGCACATAAGACTATAAATAAAATTATTAGCTAAGTTTAAGGCATTATTTCCTCTTCTTCCTCTCCACCTAGCCTCCTATCCTCATTTTGCCAGGTCACCCTCAATACCAGCTCCAACAGACCACTACCCTGCCCAACACCGGCTGATAACAGCAGGTACCATTAGTCACATTCACAGGTCAATCCAGTGCCCACAGATATGGCTCATCCTTCCTCTCCCTCATGAAACTGCACCTTTGATCCCACCAGCTGTTGGCTGGGGACAGTGCAGCCTACTTGCATAAAAGAGGTTGGTTTCATCCATGATGCCCAACCATCCACAAGTCTTTGGATTGTTTCAAGCCACCTCTGTGTTCCTTCCAGCTGCACTCAAGATGGAGAACCAAACTGGGCAGGTTTGCTAGGACACAAGTGAGTTTCTGTACCACTCCTCCAGATACCGAGGCAGCAGAAACAGCCTATTATCAGACACTAAGTTAAAACCCTGCTGCCCCTTACTTACCTTCCCTCCATTTGTAATGCAGACACAACACTTGCTGTGAGCTAAGGCTGGAATTGGCAGCCTGCATTTTGAGCAGTGTGTTGTTCAACAGGAATCATAGAATCAGCCAAGTTGGAAAAGACCTTTAAGATCATCAAGTCCAACCATTCCCCCAGCACTACCAAGGCCACCACTAAACCATGCAACTGAAGGCCTCATCTGTATAGCTTGTGAACACTTTCAGGAATGGTAACTCCACCATTCCCTGGGCAGCCTGTTCCAATGCCTGAGCACCCTTTTGGGGAAGAAATTGTTCCCAATATCCAATCTAAACCTGCAGATGAAGAGGATTTCTTCCTCTCACATGTATCTGCTGTCTCTCAAAAGAATATTTGTAACTAGGAGAGACAGAGAAATAGAAATCCACACATCATCCTTTGTCCTCTCTAGCTGTCTAGCCATGTTCATTAAAAACTGGAACCCGCAATTTTTCACAGAGTGGCTGATACAAAACCATATTTCAGGTATCTGCACTGGTTTTCCCATCTAATTGGCATGATAGTACAGCATGTTATACTTCTTATTTAGATGAAGATAATAACCTAAGAGTTTCATTATTGCACAGCGTGGAGTATGTCACAAATAACTGGGGGGGGGGGGGGCAAGAGGCACAAGGGAAATAATACTGTAAAACCCACTGATGCAAAATGACACAAAGTGGGACTTCTTGGCACAAGAGCTCAAAAGCATGATGGGTTCAAACTGAAACAGGGAAAGTTCAGGTTAGCACTGAGGAGGAAGTTCTTTACTATGGAAGTGGTGAGGCACTGGAATGGGTTGCCCAAAGAAGTGGTGAATGCTCCATCTCTGGCAGTGTTCAAGGCCAGGTTGGACAGAGCCTTGGGTGACATGGTCTAGTGGGAGGTGTCCCTGCCCATGGCAGGGGTTGGAACTGGATGATCTTAAGGTTCTTTCTAACCCAAACCATTCTGTGATTCTATGATTCTATGCTCAAGCAAACCTCCATCGGTAGGTTCAGCAGAGTATGTTCCTTGCATGTGTTCAAACTCGGGGGGTCTCCTTACAGAAAGATCATGTCCTGATAACACTGCTGGGATCTGTTTTAGCCAGCATAAGAAAAGTGACAGTCTCCTGAAAAAATAACTGAGCACAGAAGTGATCCGGAAAGCATTCTACATGTATAAATCCCACAGTCCAAAATGACTCTTAGCAAGATGTGTGGTCATTGGTATCTATTTCCATGTCAAAAAGAGCCTTAAAATACAGGTGACAGAGCGACTACAGGCACTGGGTGATGAGACCCTTTGCATGCCAAACCCAGTTAGGAATCCTCTGGTTTTTAAAAAGTGCCCTAAACCTGAGACTCTGGTTTGGTCTCTAGAGACTTTACACTGAGAAGTACAACTCGCTTGGGTGAGGGGGTTCTGTGTTGTAAAGCACAAAGATTAACATAGAGCAAAGAATAAAATCCCCATGGATATGTACAAATGCCCTGTAAAGTGGCACCAAGAGCCGCATTTCTCCCCAGGAGCATCTTGTTTCACATCCCTGCCGATGCCCTGTATTGGAAGTGCTCATGGCCAGGTTGGATGGGGCTTTGAGCAACCTGGTCTAGTGGAAGGTGTCCCTGCCCATGGCAGGGGGTTGGAACTGGATGAGATTAAGGTGTCTTCTAACACAAACCATTCTATAGGATTCTATGATTGCTTAGACCCTGAACTTTCATTTGCTCTATCGCTGAACCCCAAGTTCTGCCTCAGTGGTGTGCACAGTCACACCTCGTGCACAAAGGCAGCGTGGATGTGCAACAAAAGGGGAAGTAATTCCAGGGAAGCAAGTATTAGTTCCAGGAGACTAGAAATCTAAAAGGCTTCTCACACAGATGCCACCAGCTACACTGAAACCTGATTCGGTGGCAGGGTAGTGGCTTAACACTCCATTCCCCAGTAACCTGGGATGTCTGCAAGCTCCTCAAACACGACTCAGTCTGCAGGAGACACAAACACCACTCTAGAAGAATCTCTCAATTCTGAAGGGATTTACTGATGCTCCTTTTTATTTGATCATGTGGAGAAACAGAGCACACACCTCACTACCTATGAGAGTATCACCGGCAGCAAAAGCACACTGGTGAAAATGTTTGGGTTTTTTTTTCTCTAAAGAGTGATGGACCAACTGGACAAAAATACTACCAGCCAGTCCTTGCAGAGACGCTGTTACCACCAAGATAAGGCAAGGAACAGGAGACATGAGGATACCCTAAATATAACAAGGATGGTTTTATTTGTTTGCATTTTGATAATTGCAGAAATTAATTGGTGAGGGGGTGTTTAAAGGCAAAAGAGAACATTATTTTTTAACTGTCTCAGTAAATGGCAAGTCTTATTCACATCCCTGCCCCATGATGTGATAGACTCCGAGTACACCATTATCCAACCTCTTAGAAATCCGTGGTGACACAGGGCTGCCCTGGTAAGTGTTTTCACTTTTAAGTGTGTCCTTACAATTCAAATCATGTTGACATACTTAAGGGAGAAAAAAAATGCAAGTTGAAATCCCCACATAGGGTAGGTTTTACCTTTGCTTTTCCTCCCTGCATGTGGCAAGGGAGCAGGGGAGAAGGAAGACACATAACAATAACCTCATATGTGAGTGCAATAGCGAGGGATGCACCTTGTTCGAGCCACCTTCCCTGCATGTACATACCATCAGGCAGGAAAACACACAGATTTTCCAGGAGCCCATCCACTTGGTGTAACAGGAAGGTTAAAGATTCCTTACAAGTCAGAATTTTCAGCCTGACACTACCAGCAGAAATAAGCAGGTCACCCACTGCTGGAGCCAAGGTGGGGTGTTACAGAAGAGCAGCATTCCATTTCAGACCTCTAACAGAGAGGCTTTGCCATTCATCTTCAGCAAAGAGAAGAGGATCCAGCCCAAGCAGCTGGATTTGGAATTGACACCACCAAACTGGCAAGCCCCAGATGTCAAAGGAGGCAGACGCACCATACAGAGGAAAAACTAATGCAAGTAGAAACACTGATCAGGATTACAGCAAGCAAGTACTGCATTTGCAAATGAGTATCTTCTAAATATCTCTTGTGCCATTGCAAAATGACTTAATGTCAAAATCTCTAGTAAGAGCCTTATCAGACCTGGCATGTACTATTTTACTTCACAAATCTGTTTTGCATTGGCTCAATTAAAATTGTTATATATTTTTGGGTCTCGTGTAGGTGCCATCTGTTTAACAGTACAAGGAGGTCCTGTGATACACTTGTAAATTCTCTGCTGCAATAATTTTTTTTTATATATAATGGCGGACTTTGGATACAAGAAACTGCCCATACTCAGTGATTTTTTTATGGTTTTGGCAGTAAACTTACTACGATTCTTACCGTGTCACAAGGATGGCTCTGCAGCTGATGGAAAACCAAAGAACTGATCTATATGTTTGCACCAGAGTCATGTTATTTATTTCATACTTAATTTTTTCACTTCCTTGTTTTGTAAATGAGCTTGTTTTCCCAAGCCGGAATCCATAGGATTGCTCTCAGCTGGTTTTCTACGTCTGCAGCCACAGCCTTCAGCAGAACTGCTTGCACCACACATTGACATCTTCACCCAAGTAACCATTAGTACAAAGGTTTGTAGGACCAGGAAACAGAACTAAAACATTTCTTTACACTTTGGGGTCTTTTTAGCTCTTACTATTATGTCACAGGAACTGAAATGCTGTTCCTAAATCACAGTGAACTACAACAAAACCCCAAGGCCAACTCACTAGTTGCTTTTCCTTTAAAAAAATACAGCCTCAAAATCTGCTGCTAAATTCTGCAATATGTTGCAGCAGGAAAGTATTTTCAATGACAATACTGCAGCTTGTTCTTAAGTCCTCAGTGTTGCTCTACAGTCAAGAGAGGGATGACAGATTTAAGAACAGAATTTGTATGTGCAGAACTGCTTTTTTCCATATGTGGTCAAACACTTCAGCCACCTGCACAGCTGCTTTAGGATGCTCAGCAGGACTGTCCTGCAGTGGATATCAGCAGAAAGAGAATGGCTCATTGTATCATAGTACCTCAGACGGACTGTAGTACCTTTGCCACCTCAGGTGATGCTCGTTTTCTCTCTCACATTCCCTTCACACTCACCAAGGATTATCTTGCTCAAGTGTGGCACAGAGCAGAGCTCTCCACAGTAACTAGAATGAAAGATGAAAACTTGTTTCTAACACCACCTTCTTGTAGGATACCTTTATAGGAAAATGGATGTACCCAAAGTACCCTTCTTGTCTGTTTCTGGGCTTTACTATAACTGGCATCAACCATGGAGAGGTTCCTCCTTGGCCAAACATGTGCTTTAGCCTTACTCAAGACCCCAGCAGCCAAGGATCACATCAGCTGAGTGAGCACCAGCTACGTCCCATACTCCCATGGATAACTGATGGCACATTGAAACCTGTCTGCTCTGGCTGCAGTGCCAGAGCTCAGCCTCTCATCTACCAGACATCAGAATGCCACAGCAAGGAGCCTG